GCAGCTTTAACTAGTTGATTGTCGACATTTATTGTAAGAAGGTGTGCTATATACCCATGTCTCTAGCAAAACTATTCTTATCTTGATGAGCTCATCTTCTTCCATATATTAATCAAATCCTCTAAATTATTTTGTATGATGAGGATAGATGTTTCTTGAGACAAGGTAGAATCATATCCGATTGGTAAAACAATCCCTTATTTTCAGTTGAATCTTTTCTGACTGGACCCTTACTTAATTGGGTGACTCATAAAGAGCTAATACAGATAAGGAACAAACTAGTTATTCTGTCGAGTCCATGAAAAATTTTTATTGAATATCATCTTTTAGGCAAATGTTCTTTATGCAACTTTATGATATGAGTATGAATCATGCAAACATGAATAAGAGAAGAGGTTAGTGTATCACATAAAAAGAAATAGGCAAATAAATAACTAAAGAAATTAGAACATTATACCTAATAAGAAAAATGAATCCTATGCTTTTGGACAATTCTAAAGGGAAGAAAATGGCTTTATCTATAGGTAAGGCATTTATAAAGTTCACTATATGTGGTTTAAGGTTAAAGTCTAAAGGTTCCCAAATTGCTCCTTACATCATTGTCCATTACAGACTAGTAAGGCACCACAATCCTCATCCATTACAAGCTACAAATGAAAAAGGCTCAATTTGAGTGAGAGTATTTTGCTAGCCACTACGAAGCATTAAACCTCACGAAAGCAATAGGTACTTTATTCCCTCCTAGAGGGACGGAGCTCGGGTATAGAATTCATGTTATGCACATGCATATGAATGACATAAATAACAAAGTAAATAAAAGTAAATGAATAAAAAATCTAAACAAAAGTTTAATTTTATTAGGCTTTTGGACAACACAAAATTTTTTGCTGGCCTGACTCTTAGTGGTGTCCCCTAGTGGAGTCGTAAAATTGTCATAACGTCTAGATCTGGGAATCCATCGTTAGACATTGTATTTAGGAGTCGCCACTAATCTTTTTTATCTAGGTGTGATTGATCATATAATGAATCTATCCTTTTAAGGAACACCTAAGCCTAAGGGTCCCTAAAAAAATAGGTTCAAGTCTACTAACCAGAACAGGGTTTAGGAGTACGGTTACATGTGAGAAAGGTTATAGCACCCTCACAACGCCCATCGAAAGATGGTACCAGCTTAATTTTATGTTATCCAATAAGCCTTAAAAATTTACCAAGTAATTAATTATTGGAAATTATTCTCTATTGACTCTAATACTTTTAGTAGAAAATTGAAAAAATTTCTTCACCTCAAGAGTATGCAAGAAAACTATTGTTTCACTTGTAGAAGCTCTATCGTTGGATTATTTAACATTAAAGAAAATTAAAAAAAAGAAAAAAAAAGAATAATGATTCACCTTTAGATATAAATCATTTTCTCTTCAAAAACTCATTGCTTTTGTACAAGAAAAATTGATACTTTCAATTTTTCCTTAAAACGTTTTTTTTTTTGTTTAAGGAAAATTGGTACTTCTAACTTTTTTCCAAAATATTTTTCTGAAATTTTATTTTCGAGAAAAATTGATACTTTCAACTTTTCTTCAAAAATATTTTTTTAAAAATTTATTTTTAAGGAAAATTGAAACTTTCAACTTTTCCTCAAAAATATTTTTTAAAAATTTTATTTTCAAAGAAAATATATACTTTTACCTTTTCCTAAAAAATATTTTTTAGAAAATTATTTTCAAGAAAAATTGATACTTTCAACTTTTTCTCGAAAATATTTTTTAGAAAACTTATTTTCAAGGAAAATTGATACTTTCAACTTTTCCTCAAAAATATTTTTTTTAGAATTTTATTTTAAGAAAATCATTTTTAAAAAATTAAATAAAATAAAATAAAAATAAAATAAGGAATACCAAATTATTCGAATCAATCAATCAATAAATAATAATAATAATAATAATAAATAAATAAATAAATAAATAAATAAATAAACCTTTGGAATGGCTCGGCTCCAAAAAGAATGATGGCTCGGATGTGCGACTTGACAGAAAAATAACTTGGCTCGGCTTGAACCCAGACAGAGAAGAGGGTTCTTGGATCGGGTGCATTACGGTTAGGTCGGATCTTGACAAAACACACGAATCCTGTGGGTTTACTAACGTAAAAACGATGTCGTTTTGGAGAGGATATATAAGGCTGAAACTCGATTTTTCTTCAGATTTTCTTTCTCCTTTCCTCTCTCTTCCTTTCTTTTTTCTTCCTTCTCTTTAAACAATCCCAGATTTCGGTTGAATGTTCTACCAAAATCTAGAAAAAGACGCTGAGAACTTCAAAGTTGGCCAAAAAACTTGTTGAAAAATTTGAAGTTAGCCGAAAAATTTCGCTAGATTCTGAAAAATTTTCAGAAATTTTCCAAAAAAAAAACTCCAAAAAATTCAAATTTTTTTTAAAAAAATCTAAACACAATCTTACTTCTGTTTCCTCTCTCTGTTGTGTTTTTTCGTGTCCTGTGGGTTCTGTTTCAACACCTATTTATAGGGATTAATTAAAGTTTCTGATCAATCTCAATTTCCTCAAGGATTTTGATTCAATCTTTGAATCCAATCCCACCTCTGCTAGCTCTCAAATTCATCGTAAAATATACTCCAATTTTTTTGATCCTAATCCCAGCCGAAAATCCATCAAGAAAAAAAATAAAGTAAAAAAATAATAATAAGAGAAAAAATATATATATTAAATAAATAAATAAATATATTAATTGATAAATAATAATAATAAAATATATTAAAAAATACATTTATAAATAAATAAATAAAAATAAAATTACAAATGGGCTTACCTATTTGGATCAAACCCAATTGATTCGAGCCTGGACCAAATTTGGTGTCTACATCACCTAAGGAATCTATCCTTTCAAGAAAAACCTAAGCTTGATTAAGGGTCCCTAAAAGAATAGGTTCAGGTCTATTAACCAAAACAGAGTTCGAGAATTCGCTTATGTGTGAGGAAGGTTATAGCACCCTCACAACACCCAAAATGGTACCAGCTTGATTTTGTGTTATCCGATAAGCCTTAAAAATTTTACTAAATAATTAATTATTGAAAATTATTCTTAATTAACTCTAAAACTTTTGACAGAAAATTTAAAAAATTCTCTCACCTCAAGAGTATGCAAGAAAACTACTATTTCACTTATAGAGACTCCATCATCGAATTATTTAATATTTAAAAAAAATTCAAGAAAAAAAAGAAAAAAAATAAAATAAAAAAAAAGAATAATGATTCAACTTTTGATATAAATCTTTTTCTTTTTATTATTTAAAAAAGAAACTCATTGTTTTTGCACAAGAAAAATTGATACTTTCAACTTTTCCTTAAAGCATTCGAAAATTTTTATTTTAAGAAAAATTGATACTTTCAATTTTTTCTCAAAATGTTTTTCTTGATAATTTTTATTTTTGAGGAGAATTAGTATTTCTAACTTTTCCCCAAAATGTATTTTTTGAAAATTTTATTTTAGAAATTGCATTTTAAGAAAAATTGATACTTTCAACTTTTCCTTAAAAATATATTTTTTTGAAATTTTTATTTTAGAAAATTCATTAAAAAAAGAAATAATAATAATAATAATTAAGGAATAATAATAATAATAAATCAAAGAAAAAAAATTAAAATTAAAATTAAAATTAAGGAATAATAAATAAATAAATAAATCAAAGAAAAAAAAACCTTAACGTGACTCGGCTTGAGCGGTTGGAATCAGCTCGGCTCGAGGCACAAAAGGAGGTTGGAACAGAGCGGCTCAGGGTATGGCTCGGCTTGGCTCGTCCGTTCAATAGGAAATGGGTGATTCAGGTCAGACGCGGGTTGCGCTACGGGTCAGGTAAGCCCAAGTAAAAACGCGTGGATCATCTAGGTTTACTAACACCAAAATGATGTCATTTTAGCAAGGTATTTAAGGCTAAAAGCTAAGCCTTTCAGCATATGCACCTTCATCCTTTTCTCTTCCCTTTTTTTTTCTCTTCCTTTTCTCTAAAAGAACCCAGATTTTGATTGAATGTTCTACCAAAATTTGAAAAAGGACGTCCGAAACTTCAAAGTTAGTCAGAAAACTCGTCGAAAAATTCAAATGCTGTTAAAAAATTCATCGAATTCTGAAAAATTTTCAAAAATTTTCCAGAAAAAAACTCTAAAAAATTCAAAAAAATTTTTTAAAAATTCTAAATTGCCTCTAAATACTTTTTGCTTCTGTTTCACCTCTCTGTTGTTTCTTGTGTCTGTTCTGTGTGATCTATGAACCTAAGGGATTGATCAGAAACTCTCTCTGCGATTTAGATTTAATCTTTGAATCGAATCTCAACTCTGTCAGTCCCAAATTCATGGCAGAATACATTTCAATTTTTTCTAATCCTAATCCCAGCTGAAGATTGATCAAGAAAAGATAAAGTAAAAAATATATAAATATATATATTAATAGATAAATAATAAATAAATAAATATATTAATAGATAAATAATAAATAAATATATTAATAGATAAATAATAAAATATATATATTAATAAATAAATAAATACAAATACAAATACAAATGAACTTACCTATTTATACTAAGCCTAATTAATCTTTGTCTGAATCAAATTGAGTGTCTCGGATAAAGTTAATGTTAATGCATGTTATGACTAGTCGGATGGAATATAAAAATGATGACTAAGTCTCTAAGATGACAATATCTCCTACGCAAGAAGTCTCTAAGATGACAATATCTCCTACGCAAGTAAACACCGGATCCTCCTTTTAAGAAAAAGAAAAGTCAAACAGAAAAGCTGTTGATCTGAGTGGGAGATTAAAATAAGCTAAGAAAGCACATGATTGTGAAATGCATGTTAAAAGTAGTGTAACTTGGAAAATTCCGCCATTGTAAGATGGGTGGGTCCAAATGTTTTAGCAATACTCATATTACGCCCCTGTATAAAAGCAAATGCACTTTATTTGTATATGCCACACAAAAAATCAAATTAAATCAAACAAACACAGAGCTACCAGACGCAAATCAAACAATGGGAGAAGCAACAATTCTTTACTCATTTCTTTCTTTTATCTTTCTCATCATTTGCTTAAACTTGTTTCAATCAAGAAAACACCCCAAAAACCTCCCTCCAAGCCCACCATCACTACCTGTAATTGGCCACGTTCACCTCCTAAAACCCCCCATCCATCGTTTGTACCATAGTCTATCACAAAAATATGGTCCAATCTTCCACCTCCACCTCGGTTCTCGGCTTCTTGTTGTAGTATCATCTTCAACCGCAGCAGAGGAATGCTTCAGCAAGAACGATATCGTTTTTGCCAATCGCCCCAAGTTTATCATAGGCAAACACTTAGGCTACAACAATACCACAGTTTCAACATCGTCTTATGGTGATCATTGGCGCAACTTACGTCGAATTGGTGCCATTGAAATCTTCTCATCAAGTCGTCTAAACGCCTCCGTGACTGTTCGAAAAGACGAAATCTGGCGCTTGCTACTAAAATTGTCGTGTGATTCACGTCAAGAGTTTGCGAAAGTGGAGCTGAAATCTATGCTTAATGACATGACCTTTAATAACATAATGAGGATGGTGGCAGGGAAACGGTACCATGGAGATGAAGTGACGAATGAAGAAGAAGCAAGAGAATTTAGGGAACTTATAGCAGAGGCATTCAAGAATAGTGGAACAGCAAATCCAGCAGATTACTTGCCAATATTGAACTGGTTTGGTGAAGGGTTTGAAAAGAAGGTGAAGAAGGTTGGAAAAAGGATGGACAGGTTCTTGCAAACTTTGGTTGACAATCACCGAAGTAAGAGGCAGGAAAATAATAGTATGATTGATCACCTTCTTTCCATGCAAGAATCTGAGCCTCATCACTACACTGACGAAGTTATCAAAGGGTTCATATTGGTAATTAGTTGAATCTTTGTCTTTTCTTCTTTTTACCTTTCATTATTTTAATATTGAAAGTAATTTGGTTTTGAATTCGGGGCTTAACTCCATTGGTTGATGCACTCATTTTTAGAAGGTGACATTCAAATCTGAAATGTCCTAAACTAACAAATTAACATTGTTGTGTAGGTGATAATACTTGCAGGAACTGATACATCAGCAGTCACAATAGAGTGGGCAATGTCCAATTTGCTAAATCACCCAGAAGTGTTGAAGAAGGCTAGAGCTGAACTAGACAATCAAATTGGTCAAGACAACCTGATTGATGAACAAGATGTTTCCAAGCTACATTATCTTCAAAGTATTATATTGGAGACACTTCGATTATACCCTGCAGCTCCTCTTCTGCTTCCACACATGCCATCTAGTGATTGTACCATAGGTGGATACAACGTGCCACGTGGTGCCATCGTATTGGTGAATGCATGGGCCATTCATAGGGATCCAACACTATGGGATGATCCAACAAGTTTTAAGCCAGAGAGATTTGAAAATGGCGAGAAATTAGGAGAATATTCTCACAAGCTAATGCCATTTGGGTTAGGAAGGAGGGCATGTCCAGGAGCAGGCCTGGCTCAGCGAATGGTGGGATTAACTTTAGGATCTTTGATTCAATGCTTTGAGTGGGAAAGGATTGACGGCAAGGAAATTGACATGACTGAAGGAAAGGGAATCACCATGCCTAAAGTTCAGCCATTGGTTGCTATGTGCAAAGCTCGTCCCATCGTGAATAAGGCTTTTTATAAATAAATTTGATTAAAAATGTTTCATTATTTATCATTAGTTGGGTGATTATATTGCAAAAATAGGCGTTGGGTATCTATCTAGTAAAGATTTTATTGTAGTAGGACATAGTTAATGTATTCTTTTTCTTTTTTTTTTTTAATGATTGGATTAGCCCAGATAAAAAAAAGTATGAAAATGAAATATCATTTAGCTAATTACAATTGGAGCCTTTTATTAATAAAATTTATGAAATTCTTAGAATTTGTGAATTTTAAGTATATATATTTTTATAACAAATTATAGACATTTTTTATTAAAAATTATGCATGTAGGTAAAAGACAATGTGTAAAATCTCTATCAAAACCCTATGATAGTGTCATTGAAGAAATCTGCTTAAAAAAAGTTGGTTAGGTAAATTTTAAGTCAATGTGAAATTTTGTTAAGAAATTTACTTAAAAATTCAAAGCCAACCAAAATTTCATTGTACCCTAAAACAATTAATCTTAGCCATTAAAATGTTACGTAAGATTAGTCTTAACCCTTGAAATGTTAGGTGAAATGTTAGATGATGATTAATTTTAGCCATTAAGTATTAGGTAAGAATTAGTCTTAGCATTTAAAATGTTGTTAGTTGGTATAGTTAGCCATTAAGTATTAGGTAAGAATTAGTCATAGCATTTAAAATGTTGTTAGTTGGTATAGTTAGTAAGTAATGTTTAATCTTGATTATTGATATGTTTAGTAAAATTAAATCTTAAGCGTTTGACGGAATAGGTTAGTGAGTGATTAAAGTTATAAATAGTGTTTTACCATTTTTTCATGCAAGCAAAAAGAAATAAACAAGAGTAAGAGAGAATGAGAAGAGAAAGAAAAAAAGAAAAAAAAATCATTGTTATTATAATCTCGAGTATTTTTTTGGACTTATTTTGGTATTTCTTGTATATCTGATAAATTATATGTGATTGTAATAATTTTCATATAGGAAATTTTGCTTTTGACAACATGTGAATTTTCTCTCGAAAACCTTTTGTTTCTCTTTTCTTTTTATGTTTTTTCTTCTACTTATAGAAAGTGATAGATTTTGCTATTGCGTGCTCTTTATCAGTATTTAGTCTAGTGCTCCATATATTCGACTCTTGGTTGGAATCTTAGTAAGATTCTTGCTTGGCACTATGGACAAACAAGTCGTCTTTTCATATGATACATGGTTTTAGAAAAGATCAACAAATATTGAAGGACAAAAGACAGTATGACCAATGAAAAAAGCATGTGATAATTTAAAAAGAAGAAAACAAATTTACTATCTGAATCTTTAATTAAAGTTTCTTTTCATGGGCCCTCCACAACCAGATCTTTACTTGACAACATCAAGGGGGAAAAAAATCCAAAGTCTCAGTCTCACGCGATAATATCAGTTTGATAGAACCAGCCGAACAAACTTCAAGGGATTCTCCCTCTAAATATATTGCTACTCAGCTCTAATCTTTTCTCGCTACTCTGTAAGTAAAATTGACCAGACGAACAGCTCAAAGAAATAAAATTAAGCTATGGCAATTTTAACAAAAGTTCTCATAAATATCGACGTTGAAAGAAGATTATCAGTTCCGGATGGCTGCTTACCTGCTTTACCGTGGTTTGAAGGGTGCCATGGAATAGTATTGCTCGTTTAGGAAGATGTTGGAAGCTTATGGTACTTCTGTCGCTGGTTAAGGATGAGGTTAAAGAAAGCAAAGAAAGAAAATAAAAAATAATAAAAAAGTGAAAATGCAAAGAATAATAAAAATTGAGTTTGACTTTCTTTTATTGTTTTTTTGTTTTGTTTTATTTTGTTTTATAACCTAAAGCAATAATATTTGAGAAGCACACTGTTTTCAAATCTGGTCCAATGTGTGAGATTTTTTTGTTAATTTTCTCATATATTTTATTTTTACGCATAAAATAAAATTGTTAGTAAATTCATATAGATAATTATTTTAAATAAATAAGTGATTATTTAATTAGTCTTTTAAAATAGAATTATTAAGGCGCTAGTTTGTTATTGTGCAATATATTTATTTAAATATGTTTAGATATATTAATTAATATTATTTAATCACTTAAATATTCATATATTGTAAACTACAAATAATATAATTAGATATCAAAACATAATAAAATTAATTTTTTAATTAAAAAATTTAAAATATATAGTAATAATAATATTTGAGGAAAAATAAAATATCCAAAAGATTTATTTATAAATAATATTATTGAATGTACCAACAAAATATTAAATTGAAAACTAAATGTTTCATCGTTACAAATTAACTTTCTTCAATTTGTGTCATTTTCATCTTGTGCAATTATTTTTATACACTTGGAAGCTTATATAATTTTAAGATAAGTTTTATTTATTTGAAAAAAATAATGATTTTAAATCTTTAAATAATATGTGTGATACTTTACTTACATGTAGACCTGTTCAAGGGCCGGATTACTTGTTCGAGCTTAAAAACTTGCTTGAAATTTTAAAGGAGTTAGACATAAATATTAGACCGTTAAATGAGCCTAGACAAGTAAATGAGACTTGAACAAAAGTCGGGCTGAGCTTTGGTTTCACTATTTTAGGCCAAGATTTAGCTTGACCTGACTCGACAATTAAATAAATCCAATTAATTTTCTCATAATCGGATAAAGTCATTTGTCTTATATTTTTATAATAGACAAGACCCATTTATTTTATTGCTTACAATAAAAAAAATCATTTATTTTATTTTTTAAAGTGGACATGACCCATTTTTATAATTTATAACAAAAAATAACTCAACTACTAACATATCAGTTTTCATTTCCCTTTTTTTTAGTTTTCCCCTTTCTTTGTTCTAAGGTTAGTTGCTCATTTCATTGAAACTTCCTTCTTATGTCATTTTAAAATTAACTTGTCTCCTTTAAATCTCAGTGATTTCATACTCTTTTAAAATTGTCTCCTTTAAATTAGCTTTTTTTTTTTTTCTAGATCGACACTATCCTTTTGTGTTCTCTAACTCGTAAGCTAATCATTTTAAAGTAAACTTTTATTTTTCACTCTTATTTTTATAATTTTTAGTTTATTTTCTTTTTTCATATTTTTTTATATAAAATTCGGTTCTTAAACTAAATAATTTTTTTTTTCATTTTGAATAATCTAAGATATTGATTCTTAAAATTTAGTATTTATTATATGTTTCTTAGTAGCTTGCAGGACTAATTAATTATGTAGACACCTTATTTGATTTGAATCCAAGCCCATTGGGCCCAACTCAATAGGGCTCAGGGTATCAAGCCCAATTGGCTATTCTTTTATTCATTTTATTATTTTTAGGCTGATTATTAAGCTTTAGTTTTTTTATTTTTTGTTTTTTTTATTAGATTTATTATTAGTTTTTTTAGGTGATTAAAAAAAAAAGATAAGAAAAAGTTGTTATGAATTGTGGTTGGTAAGATTGAAGTTGGATTCAATTTGCTTAAAGATATATTTCATGTTTTTTGGGAATTCTATAAAAAGAGGGAATCAGAGTCACACAGAAACTCTTCTGATTAAACCCCATAAATACTCGTGGATCACACAACATAGGACATAAAAGATATCACATGAAAATACAAAAAATAGAAGCCCAAAAAGGTGTTTAGAAGAGCAGAAGTAATTTAGAAATTTTAGGATTTTTTTTTAATTTTTGGTAGATTTTTTTTTTAAAATTTTTCAGAGTCAGTTGAATTTTTTGATGAGTTTTTCGGCCCCAATTGAACTTTCTAGTAGGTTTCCTAGAATTCGGCAAATATTCTAGCATCGGTTGAAATTTTTGACGAACTAACCCAAATTTCGACAACATTTCTAGAATTCGACAGAGATTCAATCAAAATTCATCCAATTCTAGAGAGAGAAAGAGAGAAAAGAAAAGGGAAGAGAGAGAAGGGGAAAGTGGAATCTGCTGAAAAGGCTAAGATTTTAGCCTTATATACCTATTGAAAACGACGTCGTTTTGCATCCAAATAATTTTCAGGATTCGCGCGATTTCTAGCAGGCTACCCGACCTGCGTGCAACTCACTTCTGTGACTTGCATCCCAACAAAATCCCTCCGTTGAGCCGAGCCGAGCCATACCCATGAGTCGCACCTTCTAGCTACTTTTTGTGTCTGCAACCAAGCCATTTTGAGCCGCTCTAGCCAAGCAATTCTATTTTTTTTTGTATTTTTTTAGGTTCTTTTTAGTATTTTGTTTATTTATTTTTATGTGTTTTTGAGTTTTTTTTTTCTTCATTATTAAATTTAAAAAAATAAAATATTTTTTGAGAATAAATATTAATTATCCAATGATAGAATTTATAAAAATTTCAAATGGTAAATTTTTATAAAATTCCTAGGTGAGAAATTTTGTCTAAATTTGTCCTAAATTGTGGAATAATTTAGATAAAACTTTAATAACAATAATTAATATTTATTTTCAAACAAAAAAATAAAAATAAAAATTTGGGTTGAAAATATTTGATAATTATCCAAGGATGAGATTCTTAGAAATTTCAAATGGTAAATTCTTAAGAAATCTCTAGGTGAGAAATTTCCTCTAAATTTATCTTAAATGGTGGAATAATTTAGATGAAATTTCAATAAAAATAATTGTCATATTATTTTCTTTCCAAAAAAAGAAAAAATAATAATAAAGAAATTTCTAAGTAAGCCCCAATGGTGGGAAAATTTAGAAATTTCAAAAAAAAAATTTTTTTAATTAACCTAAATAGTAAAAAATTTAGAGATAAAAAAATAAAAAAATTTTCTAAATAGGCTCAATGGTGAAAAGTTTAGAAATTCAAAAAAAAATATTTTTAATTTGGCTCAAATGGTAGAATAATTAGATATATTTTTGATAATGAAAAAAAAATAATTAAACATTTTTTCGACGACGAAACATTTTCAAGGAAACAAATGGGATCCTTGAATACTCTTGAAGTGAAAAAATATTTTTAAAAATTCTACCAGATTGATGGAAGAATCTTATAAATTATTTTCAATATCTAACGTAAAATTTGGAACCATTAGACTTAAGACCTTAAGATAAATTTAAAATAATATGATACCATATTTTGGATGGGCATGTAGGAGTGCTACAACCTTCTTCACATATAACCAAACTTTGTAGACCTGAAC